GCCGCCGCCGCCGGACCTCCCGCCGCGCCCGACGGCGCCTCGCCCGGCGACAGCGCCCGGCAGAAGCTGGAGGAGACGAGCGCGTGCCTGGCGGCGGCGCTGCAAGCCGTAGAAGAAAAGATCCGGCAGGAGGACGCGCAGGGCCCGCGGTAGGTGCCGGGCGGGGTCTGCGCGCCGCCCCGGCCCGCTCACACTCTGAGGCTGCTATGCGCGGGCTGGGGCCGAGTCGTGCAGGGAGGGGCGTAAGTAGCCTGAAGACGGCACCGCCCTTACATTATGGGGCGGGGCCATGTCGATCGCAGAGGGGCGTGGCCGATGTCGCGGGGCGGGGGCTGGAGCTGGCCACGCCCCTTTACCCTGGGGTCTGGGTGTGCCTTTGGCGAGGGTGGGCGGGGCGTTCTGCACCGGCCCCGCCCGCTCACGGCGCCCCGCCCGCAGCCCCGTGGCCGCGGAGAAGACTACAGGCAGCATCCTGGACGACATCGGCAGCATGTTCGACGACTTGGCCGACCAGCTGGACGCCATGCTGGAGTGACGCGGCTGCACACGGCGGGCCCTACCGCGCCGCCTGGGCTCTGGCCCGCACACTGACGTTTACCTCAGGATGGGCACCTCTGGGCGAGGCGCGAGCGGGCAGGGCAGTGGGCCGAGGGGGCAGCCGCAGGCACGAGGCGGGGGCAGGCCGAGCTGCCCAGCCCCTGCACAAGCACAACTCCTGCCCCTGGGCCAGGTTGCCGAGGCCGGCCGCCCAGCCTGGAGGACTGCCTGGCTGGGAGACCCAAGGGCTCTGGGCAGATGCTGCTGCCCCGTGGGTGCCCGTCCCTGTCTGCTGCTCCCTGTGCAATAACTGCTGGGCCACCCGTCCACCCACCACCAGGCTCTGCCCGCTGTGGGTGGAGGAGGAGCAGCCCCTGGCCTCCCTGCCCTGGGTCCAGTCTGGGCCCACTCTCGGAGGTGGTGGGAGGGGGGCAGGCGCTGTAGCCCCCTCCCCAACCTGTGGCAGAGCACAGGCCTATGCCCAGCACAGAACTGCCCAGTGGGGACCTGTCAGCCACACCGGCGCAGCACAAGGGGCTGGGGCGGGGGGTTGGGCCCCCTGCCCCACTACACCCCCAGAATATAAGCTATCAAGAGTATTAATTTATTGGGAATGAGCTGAAGCAGATTTCCCCAGAGAAACAAAAAAGGTATAACTTTAACAAATATATATTTAAAGAAAGAAAAAATATTATTGATTCTATAGAAAACCATTCACCAACTGTAAGGGCACTGGAGTCTAGCTCGAGACAAAAGCTGTTAGAGGCCCCGGCTGTCTGTCTGTCTGTCCGTTCTTCCCTCCCTTCGTCTAGGAGTGGCAGACCCCTGGTCCAGTAGCACAAACAGGAGGCTGGGGTCTGGGGAGGGGTCCATGCTCCACCAGGGCCTCCCCTCTGCTCTCTCCTGACTTCTCTGCATCTGTGGAACTCGAAGGATGTGCCTTGCTTGCTGCTAGGCTGTGTCCTCCATGCCGTGGAGATGGTGGGTGGGGGGCCTCCCTCCACTCCCCGGGGGCTAGTGGGAGGGTGCCCCTGGGCTTCAGGGGAGCTATGCGCACAACGTGGTGAACGTGGGTGTGACAGCAGTGGGTAGGGAGCGAGTATGCCAGGCTGGGTGTGGAGAGCATGAGGGTGTGCCTGACCCTCCCTCCCCAGGGCCCCCAGCTGGCCCTGCCCAGGCAGCCAGCCCACCCCCACTCTAGTTCCCACGGACGCTTCTGCTCGTGGTCCAAGGCCGTGTTGTGTGGTTCTTCTCGCCCTCTCTCTCTTTTCCTGTCTCTCCCCCATTTCCAAAAAGTACTGACTGGCCTCCTCTATTGTGTTTGCTGATCCATGTGTGTTGGGCACAACTTTGACATTTCTTAAAAAAAGAAAGAATTTAAAAACTGCTGAAAACCAGCGATTGTGATATGGGCGGGTGGAGGGGGCCGACCAAGGTGGTGTCTGGGCATGTGGTACCCCTTCTAGCTGTCACGCCCTGATGCTTCCCCGAGAGTGGGCGTGCCAGGCCCTCCACCCGGCTTCTCCTCAGTGGGTGCCCCAGCCGGGCTCCAGCAGGCGGTGCAGGTGGGGAGGGGGTTCCAGGCAGGGAGCTACTGTCAGCTGTCAATAAACAGCAGAAAACGAAGCTGCCTGGCTCAATTTTTGGGGACGTGTGTGTTGGGAAGAGAAGGAGGCCAGCCTGTTTCTGGCAGGGAGGGGAAGTCACCGAGACAGCCACGTCCTGGGGTCGACAAAAAGAGCCCCTTTGTGGCCCCTGCCTAGCCTCCCTCCCATTGGCTGCTGATGCCTGTGCACACCAGCATTCTCGGGCGGCCTCTCCCTTACCCTGAGGACTGTCCCCATTCACAGCCACAGTCTGTGCAGGTTTTATTTCAATCAGGAAGTCATCAAATCTATATACAGTCTAAAAACAGTAGAAAAGGTGAGTAAAAAGGCCTGCAGTCCATCTGGAGTGTGAATGGAGGGTGGGCCGGGCGAGCTTCGTACCTGGCACCCAGAGGGGCTGGGCGCGGTCCTGGCAGCGATAGTGATGGGGCCGAGCGGAGGGAGGCTCACTGGGCACAGCGCAGCCAGAGAGCCCGAGACCACCCGTGTGGCCCACCTGGCTTGGACAGGCCTAGGGCAGCCCAGAGGAAGCCAAGACCCACCTGCACATATTAGCAAGTCCAAACCTGCAGAGGAAGGACTGTTTCAGGGGCCCCTTTGGCGGTCCCGACCCAATGCCACCTGCCTTCCATACCTGCCCTCACTGCCACCTGCCCAGGGCCACTCGCTCCTCGCTCCCCACCCTGTTCCACATTCGCAGCCCCTTTGGATGGCCTGAGCCAAGGCACTGACCTTCACAGTGCTGTCCACAGCCCCTGAGAAGAGCCGGCCCCGGGACACAGCCAGTGCAGTCACACTGCCCTGGTGACGCAACAGAGTCTGCGTGCAGATCATGTTGTCCATACTCCAGACCTGGTGGCACATGGGATGTGAAGGACTGTCCCCACTCACAGCCACAGTCTGCCCGGGCCCTGCCACCTGCCCTGAGCCTCCCACCATCGATAAGCCAGCACGCACCCTGAGGGACCGGTCGTAGGATGCACTGAAGACTTTGGTCTGGTCTGGCGTTGAGATGACGGCCAGGGCATACACGGTGCCCACGTGGCCTGTCAGAGTGCGCACCTGCTCCTTGGACTCAATGTCCCATACCTGAGGGGGCAGCACAGGCAGGTCAGACACAGACCGGGGAGGACAGGGGCCCAGAGTCAGGCCCTGCCCCTAGGTGTCTGCCCTTACGTGGATGAGGTTCTCGTAGGTGCCACAGACAATGTGGTGATTTGTCACGGCGATAGAGTAGACGCTACCACCAGACGTCTGCAGGACGTGGATGCAGTCGAGGGTCCGGATGTCCCAAATCTATGGGCAAGCGCAGGCCACTTGGTCCCAGGCCAGATGTCTCACCCCCAGGGCCTCTGGGGCTTTGGACGTGTGGGCAGCCCACCCACCACCCAGGGTGTAAGGATCTCCCTGGCCCAGCAGGGCGGGGGCACAGGGAGGCCTGCCTTGATTGTCTGGTAGGAGCCACTGTACAGGTAGCTCTGGGCGGCCACCAGGGCCCGCACCCAGTGGTTGAGGCCCGTGAGCTCCTTCTTCAGCTTCAGCTCGGTGCCCACAATGTCCCAGACCTGTGGGGATGGCGGTAAGTGTGGGCAGGTGGGCATCGGGCACCCCGACGGCCCACACGCACGCATACCGCCTTGCCTGACCTTGATGGCCTTCAGGGAGCCGCTGAAGAGCATGTTGTGTGAGGAGACCAGCGTGCACACTGGGTTGTCGTGGGCCCGGATTGTGTTCACCTTCTGCAGGTTCTGGATGTCCCACACCTGGCAGGAGGGAGGATGGGAGGCCTCAGGCCCCAGCTTTGTGCCCCCAGCCCAGGCCCCAGTGGCACAGGACACCTGGGGCTCCCAGATACTGGTGAGGCTGGGCCCCGCCTGCCTGCTGGCCCCTGGGCCCCACTCACGATGATGGTGCAGTCTGCTGAGCCACTGTACAGCTTGCACCTGGGGAAGCAAAGCCGATGTGTTAGGGTGAGAGAAGCCAGCGTCCTTGCTGACACTGCCCTGGCCAGACAAGGCAGCACTGGCACCAGGAACCAGCAGCTTGGGCCAGTGCCAGGGCCACTGCTGCTTCCTTGAGCCCAGCCTGTTTTCCCATCTCAGCAAGGGGACCTTGGAAGTGGCGGCCCAGCCCCCAGTGCCCGCCTGGCAAGAGTTTGATGGCCAAGCTGGGAGATAATTATCCCCGTTAGTGCTGCTGGCAGTCAAGCTGCTGCTTCCCGTGAGCAAGCATCTCTCTCTGTCACACGCCCATGACACAAAGCCTCATGACACAAGATAGGAGGGAAGGTCTAGAAGGGGTCACCCCAGGAGCAAGGGGGTGGCCCAGCCAGCTGCTCTGTGGTTCTGTCCTCGAGCTGAGCCCAGGGCTCTGGCTACAGGCCAGCTGAGCTCCTGCCTCCACTCTCTGATGGTCCCACCTCTGTCCTCTGGCAGCCTGAGGCACTCCAGGGCCAGGCCGGGGCTAGGGCTATGCTTTGTGAATGTACACCTTCAGAGGTGGAGAGCCCACATGCCACTGCCCAGCGACCCAGCCCTGATCCAGGTTGAGAGTGTCTCACAGAAGGGGCTGACACAGCCATGCGGAGGCCCTGTGGTCAGTGGCCGCACACATGCCTGCACTCACCCCTGGATGCAGAGTGCCAGCACGATGCCATCATGGCCCTCCAGCGTCTTCTGGCACTTGTAGGTGGTACACGTGTCCCACACCTACCGAGACCAGGGTCAGGGCGGGTGCCTCCAGGGTCAGCCCGGTGCCAGGGGGCAGCATGGCAGGAATGAGGAAGCAAGCCATGGCAGGGTAGGGGAGCCCCACCCAAGGAGAGAAAGCCCCACCCATGGGCAGGCCCAGAGCTGGCAGAGGCTGGTGTGCAGTGCCCACCCTTGTCCTACCAGGCTGCAGGGCCCCAAAGCCCTAGGACCCCACCCACTTTGATGGTCTTGTCAGAGGAGCCACTGAAGAGCAGATCCCCCATGGAGTAGACACAGAGACACCAGACGGGGCCCTGGTGGCCCACGAAAGTTCCTTTGCACTTGAAGATCTGCTGCGGGTCATAGGCTGCAGACAGATGGGAAGAACCAGTGAGGGACCCATGGGGGCCTCAGGGACGGCAGTAGGAGCAGCAGCCCATACTCACATCCTAGGATGCCCATGTTCAGCCGTGCGTTGATGTGAGACAGCTCGTCCTGCAAGGCCAAGAGCAGAGTGAAGTGGGTGGGGCGCCACGGCCCTCACTGCCCCCAGGCCTGGGCTCAGCAAGGGCACCAGCAGCCCTCCCCAGCACAGACACCTCCCCCTGAGCGGGAGCAAACCTCCTGCTGGGGCCTAAGCTGAGGGACAGTCCTGTGTCCCCTACCCCACCCAATCTCCCTGCATCCAGCCCCCGCCCCAGGCCCCTGTCTGCGCACGTTCAACATGGATGCGTCCCTCCGGAACTCCATGAGGTCCTCACTGAGCTTGCTCTGGTTTTCGTCCAGGACATCTGAGCAGCAGGGGAGAGGGTGTCAGGGACCAGGAGAGGTTGCACCCCCACCCCCTCTGGGCCAGTGCCTCACCGAACTTGAGCTCCAGGCTCTTCTCCAGCTGGTCAATCTTCTCCGAGAGCTTGCCCAGCATGGAGCGCAGGAAGGCGATCTCTTGGTCCTTCTGGGCCAATGCCACGTGCATCTCGTGGAAGCGGTCGTCCGTCTGCTGCAGGAACTCCTTTAGGCCCTCAAAGCGGCAGGTCTCCAGGTGCGTCTCATACGTGTCCTGGTTGCCAATGAATGTGCACCTGGAAGGACAGGAGAGACGCCCTGCCCACCAGCTCACCTGCCCACCCAGTGGGACCCTTCACTCCACCTCCCCAACCCAAGAATCTCTCTCAAATCCCACTTCTGTGCCCACTGCACCCAGATGGGCCACCGTCCTCTCCACACCTGCCTGCCCGCCCATCTATCCTGTTCCCACCCAGCACCCAGCAGGCCACTCCGCAAGGGAAATCCAAACACTTGCTCCTGCTCCAAGCTCTGCAAGGGTTCCCCAGCCCCTCATCGGCTTTGCCCTGAAGAGCCCGCTCCTGCCTCTTCTCCCACCCCCACCTCCCCTCTGCTCTCATCTCCAGCCATTTGCTCAAGTGCCCCCACACAGGGCCAGCTGCCGGAAGCCCTTGCCCTGGTCTTCGCCCGGCTCATGCCCATGCATGCGTCAGTTCTCAGCTCACACCTGCCCTGACTGCTCCCAGCTCCCCAACAGCTCCGTCCCCTCTGTGTTCCCATGGGGCTCAGGTCTCTCCTTCACAGCACCTGTACCTCAGTTTGTAATTACATAGTCGACGGTGTGGCTCCCGCTAAGGTCCGTCTCCCTGGGGACCCTGGCTGTCTCCCCATCGCCCAGCACACAGGTGGACCTCAACAAAGGTTTGCTGAAGGAGGGACTGTGAATGCCAGCCCAGGCCCGCCCACCTGCCCGCCCTCCTGCTGGCCCGCCTCTGCCCCGGGGCAGCCCCTCACGCCCACCCCCGCCCACTCACCCGTACTTGGAGTGGGGACACTTGATGTGCTCGCACTCCTTGAGGTGGGCTTCCAGGTTCATCTTGAGGAGGGGCGGGCAGCTGGGGTTGTTGGGGCACCGCACAGGCCTGTAGTCACAGCTGCCCTCGTGTTCCCTGTGGGAGGCAGGACATGGCGCAGGGCTGAGTCTCCAGAGGCACCGGGTCTCAACACCCCTGGGGGGTGGGGAGCCGGGGGCCAAGGGTGGCACTTACTTCCGGGCACTGAGCTTGATGGTGAAGGGGCACCCTCGGGGGTCCACCTCGAAGACGGTGGGCTTCCCACCCCCAGCCACCCGACAGCCGTGCCTGCAGTGGATGAAGAGCTCCCCAATCTGTTCAGCCACCGCGATGTTGTTCACCACCACCGTCAGCTTGGCGTTGTCCACAGGACACTTCTCTGCAGGGGAGGGCACGCTGACCCCATGGCCCGCCCAGCCACCCCTCCCCTGACAGCTCTGCCTGGGCACTGCCGCCAGGCTGCACTGGAGACTTCCCTGGTGGGTGGCCGGTGGGAAACCGAGTCCTGGTGCGGCTGGGTGGGCTGAGCCTCTGACAGGGGCCTGATCCACCTGTCTGCCTGCCCCTCTGAGGTGCCCAGAACAGGAAGGGGTGTGCAGCTAGGCCACTAAAAATGACCAATGGGTGAGCAAGCAGTGATGGGAGTCTGGAGCAGGGCCAAGAGGGAACAGAGCATGGAGAGGAGCCGGCCCTGGGCCCAGCAGGGATGTCAGGCCAGCCACTAAGGCCCGAGACTTCGAGGTGGGCAACGGTGACAGTGAGGGTAGCCTCTGCCAGAGAGAGTGGGTGCTGGGTCCAGAGGCCCCGAGCTGTGGGTCTCACTGCTCCGCCTATCAAGGTCTTGAGACTGACCCGAGCGCCCACTCAGGGGCTGCAGCTGCGGCAGCAGAGACGCTGTGGGCAGGACTAAGAAGCCACCATGCAGCCAGGGGCACGCTCAGTGCCGGGCCTGGGCCGGGGCCTCCCCACAGGGACCCCCTTCAAGCTGGGTAACAAGGTGGCAGGGCCTGGCTCTGGGAGGGCCCTACCTGACTTCAGGGCGCATCTTCGACAGAACGTGTGCTGTGGAGACAACAGGAGGACTTGGGGCACGGCCGCAGAGTCACCCCTGCCCCAGGCCTGCTACAGAGGACACCTGCTGGGCGGCCAGACCAGGCCTGTGACCAAGGCCAAGGCTTCGCATGGAAGGGGCTGGCAGCCCACCCGGCCTCTGGGTGGTGCACAGGTTGGGGAGGGGTGGGCGGGGAGGAGCAGGCGGCCTCACCCCGCATGTGGTGATCACAGGGTCCTTGAACACACTGCAACAGAGCTGACAGCAGAGCTTCACCGAGGGCTGCTCAGCAAACACCAGTGGCTCCTGGAACCGGGCAGGGCAGGGTGAGGGTGGGGCCCAGGGGTGCTGACACAGGTTGAGGGCATCCAGGGTGCCCAGCCCCTCCCCCTGCAGGCCTGTGCTGCCCTCTTGGGTTGTGGGCACCTCAGGGGGCACATGTCGCAAGAGGAGCCTGCTGAGGCCCAGGGCTGGGCCTGAGCTTGAGGGGACTCGAGCAGGGAGGACCCCTCCAGCCTACCCTCTACCTGGGATGGAGATGAGAAAAGGCCCCACATGGGCCCCACCTTTGGTTCCCTAGGGTGGCGAGTAGGAAGAATGTGCCTGGGGGACCCAGCCTGGACTCTTGAGTCCCAGACATGGACCAGCGGGGACTGGGGCCCTGCCTAGGCCTGATCACCCCCTCACTGTGCCTGAGGGGAAAGCGGCCCCCACTGCCACAGCACAGCAAGGGTCCCTTGGAGTCACCTGTGCCCAGCCCACCCCGTGGCCACCACACCTACCGGCTCCTCCTCTTCTTCGGGCAGTGAGAATGTGGAGCGCAGGGACATGCTAGACTCAGAGTGGAGGGAGCGGACGGAGATGGCTGAGTCGGAGCGGAGCGGAGTGCTAATGGGGGGCTGCAGCGCAGAGACAGGCAGCCCGTCAGCCAGCAGAGAAGTGGTCCCCCGGGGCCACCCTGTCCTAGAGGGCACTCCCTCAGCCCACAGAGGCCGCGGCGTGTGCGTGGGGAGCCAGTGCAGCGCCCAGGTCCCCGCCTGCCTGGTGGTCTGGCCCTGTTGTTGGGCCGCCGGCTCACATCTGCCAACTTTCTTTGTGTAAATGGAGAGACTTCCTGCTATTCAATTCTACGAGGACATGCTCGGTCTGCTTCCTGCTTCCCGTGAGGGAATGTGGGCCATGGAGGGGGCATCTCCACCAGCCAATCCTGGGGCAGCTGCAGCCCCCAGACTGCCGAAGGGAAAGGAGTGGAAGGCTGGGCGGGAGAGCCTGCAGGGCTCCAGGTGCCTGCTGGACTCGGCTGCCCGCCTGGCCTCCCTGGCTGGGGACACTAGGCCAGGCCAGTGAGGCTCCCAGGGAAGGCAGGGATACCCCCATGGAACCCTGGCCAAGCTCCTGAGAGCAGGACAGAAGGCCACACATGCCTGCCTCTGCTGAGCCACCAAAGACAAGGATTTGGGGGAGTCTCGTGGTAGGGGCCACTGTCCCTTTCTCCCTTCTGGGTCTAGAACCCACCAGAAGAGATCCTGCAAGAGCCATTGCCCCCCACACTCTTCCCTTTCCACCCAGAGGCCTCATTCATGAGCCGCAAACCTCCTGTTTCCACATCCAGCCCACGGGCCCCTCCTGGTCCCAGCTGCTCTGGGGTCTAGCTGCCTCCGCCTGAGCCTCTGTGGGGTGTGGGGGCCGTCAGAATGATCCTTCCCCGCCAGCCCAGGCATGGGTCCCGCCGGGGACAGAGTGAGGCTAGGCCAGGCAGTGCCAGCTCTGCGCTGAGGCCCGGCAGTTCCAAGACCCGGCTTCCCCAAGTGGGGGCGGCAAAGATCCCTGTGTCGCCAGCATCCCACAGCCAGGCGCCTCCCTCACCAGGGCAGTGCCCACCTCCCTTCACAGTGTCCCCAGTGGCGTGTTTGCATGGAAACGCCACGTGAGAAACGAGATGGGAAAGTCAGAGGAAGTGACTCAAATCATCCCCACGGGCAGTGATGGAAACCAGAGGCTGAGAGCGGGCCCAGACGGGATCGTGCGGGGCCCTGCCTGGCACCGTTCTCCCTGCCCACCTGCCCGTCTGCCCCTCGCCGGGCTCCCACCCTCCCGAGCCAAGGGGCTGATGCCACCAGACCTGGACCTGGGACGGGGTAGCTGCCCTAAACTGTAGTGGCGGGCGAGAAGGGCCAGCTCCCAGGGGCAGGCAGAAGGGGCGCCTGTGGGGGTCCAACAGCCAACAGAGAAGGTGCCCAGGGGCCATGGCCTCAGGACCCTCATAGCACATTTCCACCTCCTTAAAGCCACCAAGACACAGGGATCTGGCACAGGGGACTTGCTCCTGTTCCCAGCCACACCCCCACGGGGGGTGGGTCAGAGGTCATGGAGACTGAGGCGGGCAGAGCCTGAGGGCGTGCAGCACAACATTCATGCTCGTGCAGAGGGGGGCCTAACACCGTGCCCCGCACATGTGTCTGTTCAAATAATTAAAAACAGTTTTTTCTTCCTATTAAATAGGAAACAAGGCCTGGCCGCCCCCACATAAGGAGAAGCCTCTGGGGCTGGGAGGCTGGGAGGTGGGAAAACCAGCCAGAGTCTGTCGGGGGCTGCCACACCGGCAAGGAGAGTCAGCCGGGCCTCGGAGGGAAGGCAGAAAGCAAGGTACAGGAGAGATCAGCGCCAGAGGGGCCGGGGTTGCCTGCCCCACCCCTCGGCTGGGGCTGGTCCTCACTTCCTCCTGCAAAGCCGGGCAACGAGCACCAGTGGCCAGACGGGCAGGGAATGGCCACTATGACCCTGGCCATGCGGCCTGGGCACCAACAGCCAGCACCGACTCTGCCCCGAACCCCTTCCTCACTTTCCAGCTCCCGCACAGTCAGCACAGGCTCTCAGGTGCCCTCTGCTGACCCCCCAGCTTGGGCCCGCCCGCCTTTCCCCACCTGCTGGGGCCCTTCTCCCTCATCAGGACCCCTGCTCAGGCCTTCTGCCTCTAACCAGCAACCCACCCACTCATCCTCTACTCAGCAGCAGAGGGAGCTTTAAAAAGGGGATCTGATCTTGTTACCCTCCCAAATGAACCATCTGTGGCTTCCACCCTCCTCAAGGGGCGTCCTGGCCTACAGGCGCCGCACTCTCACTGGCCGCCTCTCCCACACAATCCAGCCACAGGTGCTCAGGCCTCAGGGCGTCCGCACATGCTAGCCTTCTGCCTCACCAGCTCACTGCACCCTGCAGGCCTTAGCTCAGGGCGCTCCTTGAGGCTGGGCGCCCACCTTCAGCTCTTCCTGGGACCTGGCCATGGGGAGGGAGGGCATGGCGGGAGGCTGTGGCTCATGCCGGGTCCTCTGGGGTGGGAAGGGTGAGCATGGCAGAGACCTACCATGCTGTCCTCTTCGTCCCGCGGGGAGTAGGCGAGGGTGCTGGAGGAGGAAGGAGTCCTGCGGTGCTGTTTGTAAGTGCTAGTCCCATCGGCTGCCAAGAAAAGAGCCGGGATGCCATGAGTGTGGCCATGGGGGGGGGCCTGACCCACCGTGGTGGGTGGTGGGCTCCTTTGGTGGAGGCTGGGCTGGACATCAGGCTATTCCACTCCAAGAAGTCTCCCTGCCCCCACCCTCTCCCCCGCCTCCTTCTGGATTTGAGAGCCACTCAGCCAGGGCTGGGCTCAGCGCAGCTGGGAACCCCCTCCCCCCAGCAGGGGCCTGAGCAAGGCAAGGGCAAGAGCATGAACCAGCCCCATGCCCCAACAAGAGCCCTAGCCTGCCCATAGGCCATCCCAGCTCCCAGCCCTCTCCAGGGCCGAGCAGGCGGGGAGGGTGAAGGACGGGTCTGGAGGCTTGGGCTGCCTCCCCAGGCCTAACCAGTGCCTGGAGCTCAGCCTGCCCTTGACATTCTCAGCGCTGGGCCCAGAAGCTCCCAGCCCCCAGCCCTGCCACCCCCAGGCAGGTCCCAGCACTCAGCCTGACTTGGGGCTGCTCTGTGCCCAGCTAAGGTGAAAGGCCAACACTCAAGTGATCACACCTAAGGTCACTTGGCAGGAGCTGGGAGACCATCTTGTTTGACCTTCAAGGTAACCTAGCCAGGTGGGTTCTTTGATAGCCTCAGTCTACACAGGAGGAAACTGAGGCATAGAGAGGTCTGAGGCCCCTCAGCTGATACATAGTGGGCCCAGGACAGTAGCCTGGTGGTCTCGTCTCCCATCTTCTCCCCTGGTGTGGCCAGACCAGGAACCCGCTACAGGCCCTCTTGGCCTCCTCCAGGGAAGGCGCTGGTCAGGAGTCCACATGGGAGCCAGAGACCCTCCCTCACAGACCCCGCTGGCGGCAGCCAGAGGCCCTGGAGTGGCTGCCACTGGCCTAAGGCCCAGCCAGGACCAGATGTCACAAAAACCAGCCCCACAGGCCTGGGTTCATTATCCAGGCTTCGACTGGCTGCCCTGTAACTGGGCCTCAGTTCCTCTGTTTGTAATGAAAGGGACCGGCAAGGCAACTGTTCACGCCTGGTCACCAGCTCTGACCCATCCCTGCCACCGAGGGGGTTGCTGGATGGGACAAAGGCGACAGGCCCCTGTCATTCTCTGCCCCAGAAGCTTTCAACCACCATGACAGGGCACTATGTGGTTTCTAAAGGTGGACAAGGAATTAAGGAACAATTACTTAGGTGGTCAGATTGGGGGGATGTTTATCTTCTTTTTCTTCAGGAAAGAACATCTAAGAAGAAAAGAGGCCTCTTTCAGAGCCCCGGGCAGGGGTCACCCAGCAGCAAACAGGAGCCGGTGTGAGCAGGCATGCACGGCAGCCCATGACCCCGCCGCCAACTACATCCAGAGGAAACCACAGAAAAGCAATTAAAAAACTAATTAGTGGCTGGTGTACTCCTACGGTCGGCAGAGTGCCAAAAAGGCAAAAGATCAAACTCCACCCCTGGAACCCCCCCCCCGACTGGAGGGGCCACGTGCCCTCACGCCTTCAGGACGGAGGCCGTGCCCTTGTGTGCCAGTCCCTCACGACCTCCTTGAACACACAGCACTGGGCCATGGCTGAGGGACCAGACTTGAGAAGGGACCCCGTGAGTACTTCTTATCACCTAACCGTGCCTGGCATGGTCCCCAATCCCTTTTGGAGGCTGCTAGGAGCTTAGGGTGGGAGCTGAGGTCACTGTGACAAGGGACAGGTGTGCACGGGGTGCTTAGGAAGTCAAGGCAGCCCTCCCTGAAGAGGTGACAGACAAGGCACCAGGAGGGACGCCAGGGTGGGGAGAAGGACACAGCAGCAGAAGCGTAGTGGCAGGGAGCAGGACGGTGGACCCAGACAGGGCCTCGGGCCAAGCTGCCCACTCTGGGCCAGCAGTTCCCCCCCGCCGCCCCCGGAAGTGCCAGCAGGCCGCGGTGGGAGTGAGGCGCCCAGACTCAGCCCAGTTTGGGCTGGCCTGGGTTCACAGGCTCACCTTTCGTGATGGTGGTGACGGCCGAAAAGGCAGGCCCAAAGGTCGTTTCCATTCTGGTCTGGAGAGAGAACGGATGAGATGTGGCCTCGACCCCCGGACAGGACGTGGACACACACCCACACTTTCACACTGACTTGCCTGTGTCCGTGTGTATCCACGGACACACGACTACACACAGCGTGGCCTCCCCGCGACCCTCCAGGTGTGGAGGGGACTGCTCTGGAAGCTCTGCTGGGGCCCTGAGTACAAGGGTGTGCACAGGGGGCAGAGTCCTACCCGCGGGGTCCCTTACCCCGGTGGCGGCGTCTGGGGCAGGGAGGCTGGGCCCCCCGGAGAAGCGGCTGCCACGGGCACTCTTGCCCGATTTCATGCCCTAGGGAAGCACCTAGGGTCCTCGGGTGGCATCCCCTGTGGGTGGAGCACAAAGGACGGGCTTTAGAGACAGCGGCCAGGCCCATCAGCTGCGCGGGCTCCACCACAGGGCGCACCTAGGCCTCTCTCCACCACCAACACCAACCAGGGCAGGGCCACGGGGCAAAGTCCCTTCCCTGGCTCCAGCGCCAGGTGAGACAGGCCTGAGGAGAGAGGAGGCCCCGCGTGCAGGCAGGTGGCTGGCAAGACCTTCCTTCAAGGCCTGGCCCTTAGGAAAATCCCACCAGCTCCGCCCCAGAAGCAGAGAACCCCCACCCCTGCTCTGTCTGCTCAGTGGGGTTTCAAGGCCGAATGTCCCTGGGGCCAAGCCTGGGAAAACACAGGGCAATCAAGTCACATGCCTGCTTCCTGCCAGGGCAGATGCAGTCAGGCCCCGGCTGGCCCCAGTCTGCAGGGAGGTGGGGATGCTGGCCACGCCCAAGAGAACCTGTCGAGTGATGGACGTAGCTGGAGTCCAACTCCTCATGAGTCGCATCACACAGAGAAAACCCCTTTTTGGGCAGGGGGTGGAACAGGAGCTCCGACTGTCAACCTTGTGCAGGTCACCCACCCCAGGAACAAAGGACGCGCCTTCACCCCCCAACTGTGTGACTCAGGTCTCACGGGCTGGGATGGCAGGGAGAAGGCATGGCAGGGATCATCCCAGGGCTTCCCCAGAAGAGAGGGGCTGGGGTGGGCCCCAGGAGCGCTGACCAGGCCCAGGTGAGGGAAGAGATCAGAGAGAACGGAGACACGGCTGGCAGCTCACACTCCAGACGGGCCAGGGAGAGCCGCTGTACTGCCGAGACAGCACCCACCCTCCGTGGCCCTATCAGCAGGCACCCCCCTGAAGAGGTCTTCCCGCTGTCGGGACCCACAGTGGTCTGTAGGCAGGAGCCCTGACTCCCTCTACAGCAGAGTCGGCTGTGTTTAGAGCCACGAGGCCCCAGCTTGAAGCCAGGCTCCCCATGGGGAGGAAGGCTGCACACCCCTGACTGCTGCTACCAGGCCCACTGGAGCTCCGCCTCAGGAGAGCCAGCAGCATCCCTGGGACGCCACACCACGGGCTCGTCGCCTACCACCCAGCCCGGCCATCTGAACCTGCGTCGGGAGCTCCTTGGGGCAGGCCAGGCTCGTCTTGCTCCTGGGGATGGCATGGCAGGCAGGGGCCCACCCTGTCACCTGGAGGTCCTGCAGGACTGTGAAGGGCTCCAGATGGAAAGGGCTGCAGAGCTACCCCCATTGTAGGAGAAGGCGGGAGATGCTCTGCCCCACTGGACGTGAGTACAGCACACAGGGCAACTGCACAGCACAGCTGGTTCCAGCACCTTCTCTATCAAGCCCTCCTGACCTGGCCCATCTGGCAACGTCCACCCCTCCCACACCACGGCCACGCAGTGTGACCTGGGGTCCACCTAGCGGTCCCCCGACCTGGCCTGTAGGTTGTGTCCCTGCACTGTGCTCCTGAGCCATCCACAGCCCCTGCTGTCTCCTTGTCCCTCTCTCCCTGCATCTTCAAATGCCACCTGCAATGCCACCCTTCCAGCCTTCAAGACTCAGGCCTCACCGGGGCGGCTCTCAGTCCCTGCAGTTGGCACCCCACAAGGCACCCCACCCATGCTCTGAGCGCCCTGTGGGTCTGGCTGGACAGGGGCTTCCGAGAGTGTGGCCAAGCCTCCCCCTCCTGCCCACTGTTCCCTCCGCTGTGACGTGAGGGGCTTGGCCATGTGCCCCAGAGCAGGCTCTCCAGTGGTCTGTCCTCCGAGGGAGAGATGGGCTCCTGAGAGCAGGCAGCGCCAGGCTGTCAGACAGAGGGGTGAGTGTGGTGTGTCTGGAAGTCCCACCTCCAGCGCCGCTGCTGGCCTCTGTGCTAAGCAGGAAGTCTTGGGGGACCCCCTGCCTGGGTAAGGACACCCCAGCTGGGTGAGGCCCGAATGAAGGAGCTCCAGGACTCAATAGGCAGCATGAAAAGCTCCACCCTTTCAGGAAACTCAAGGCTGGTTCCTGCCTCGGCGCTGGGGGCACAGGGAGGAGGGTGGGGGTGGGTCACAGGGAGGCGGCTGGCCGACACTGACCTCGATTTCACAGTCCATCTGCTTCCTCCACTGCAAGCTCCCAGGGCCAAGAGGCCAGCTGCTGGCTCCAGCAAGCAGCGCCTGGGACCCCAGCAGGCACACCCCTCCAGGACCGCAGCCGGCCTGCCAGCCTGGTGTGCCCCAGTGCCTGCTGCTGCAGTCTGGGAGAACAGGCGTCCGGCTGTCCCTCACTCTGAGGTGAAGTAAACAGAAAGGCATGCAGGACTCCCCAGGCAACATGCAAATCGCCTGGAAAGTCCCGGATGGCCAATCACAGCCAGGCCCACAGCGACGAACCACACGACCCGTGAGAGCCATATAAGACTGGCGCATGAGCCAAGCTGAGCAAGGGAAGGAGGGAGGGAACCCTTTCCCGGTTCACACAGGTTCGGCGGCATGCAGCCCCAGCTGGGCATCCGGGGTGGGCTGGACCCGGGGCTGCAGGCCAGCGCCCCCGATCTGTGTGCCCCGCCCGGAACACAGCAACCACATCCTAAGCATCTTGGAATTGAGCAAGACGCCCTCAGCCCTCCCTCAGCCCGGTCCCCCAGGGGCTGCATTTTGCAATAACAGTCTTCCCCGGTGGCCTCTGGCCCTGCAGGCCAAAACCCCGGAAACACAACAGCGCAGCTCAGTACCTCCCTGGCTGGGACAACAGGGAGGCTGGGCCCAGCTGTCCTGGGGTGTGCCCTTGCCCGCCAGTGGGGTAGGCCTCTTCCTCGCCCCCCAGGCAGCCTGAGGCTCTCAGGCAGGCAGGAATTTGTCAACTAGAGCAAGAATCTCAGTCTGGGAAAAGCCATGGGCTGTGGGCTAGGGAGCCCTGGGCTGGCGGAGGGTAAGAAAAGGCTTTCCCCTCAGCCTCCACAGAGCCCAGAGGAGGGACCCAGGGACTCTGTCCCCTACAGAGAAAAGACCCCGGGTACTGATAAAAATGGGGCTGTGTGCCTGTGTGGGAGAGGGGGACCCGAGGGTGCTCAGGGTTAGCGCAGGAGCAGCCCCCTGCAGCCCCTCACCTGCCTCGCCTGAGCCTGGGGTCAAAACCCAGGGGTCTTTGTCTACCCACATCCACGGGGCCCAGGGGTGCACTGACTACCCATTGAGGAACCGGAGCTCCCCTGTCAGGTCCCAGCCTGTACTTCCCCACCCTAGCCCCTAGTCAGGAAAGCCCCCCACCCACCCCCTTCTCTGAGCAGCCTGTGTGGGAGGGCTGGCCAGCTACCTCAGGAACCTCTCCCCAGCCCACCCCCTGGAGGGAGCCCAAAGGGATGTGCTGGGGCCTCACCCTTGGGAATGTGGGACACGGGTCCCCCTTTCCCTTGGGAAGCACCAGAGTGGATGTGTGTCAGGCGTGGCCGGGGCCCCCGCCTGCTTGGGCCCTGTAGCTGGCAGCCAGTGGAGTGGGTGGCCCAGGTTGGCCATGCTGGAGTTGGAGACAAGGTGGGGTGGCCAGACCCAGGTTGTGCTGGGGCCAAGCCCCACCTCGAGGCAGCTCCTCCAGCAGCCCCAGGCAGCAGGCGTGGTGGGGTCCCCTGAAAAGCCCATGCTGAGCCAGTGAGGGGGCGGGCACACCCTGGAAACCCCATCAGGCCACACGTTTGGCGCTGACTGCCCCAGGGAGGAACATGGGTGGGTCTGGACACCTCAGCTCACCTGCCTCGGAGCTGTGGGTGGCTGAGTGGCTGGACTGTAGCCAGAGCTCCAGGCGCAGCCCCTGGCATCACCTGCAGACCGCCCAGCCCCTGGGTCAGCCTCTGCCCCCAGGCCCCTGGCCCAAGCCCAGATTGGGCTGCCAAATGCTATAGAAACAGGCCCTGTTGCCATAGCAAAGCCAGACACACTTCCCCCAGCTATTCCCTGGCGTCCCCTTAGCACATCTTTTCCATCCCAAACAGGCGGGCTGTGACGTCAGGGATGCCCTCAGCACCTAAGCAGGCCCTGGTCTGAGGCCTGCCTTCCTCCCAGCACCCAGCTCACCGTCCTTCTCTCTGCACCCACAGCCCGGACTCCACAGAAGCCTCAAGGCTGCCTGACTGGGCGCCTGCTGTGGCCTGCCCTCCCCAGGGCTCTGCCCCCTTGCACCCCCTACCCAGCCTCCTGGCTTTTCCTGTCCAGGGCCAGCCTCTCCAGCACCCATAGCTCCCTCTGCTACAGGGAGGGGGTCTCTTCCGCTCGGCTGGCCCAGCTTTAATCCCCACTTGGCAACTGGAATGCCTTTGCTTCCCCACCTGCCCCTTGGGGCCAATCTCATCTCCCCAACCTTATCTGATGGCTTTGTATGGGGTGGAGACCTGGCCCAGCCTGGGGGACGTCCAGAGGGCTTCTTGGAGGAAGGGGCTGGTAAGATTCAGAGGAGGGAGTATGTTCTGGGAAGAAGTGGCATTTATCCTCCTATCTCAGTGCCCAGTTGCAGGGGCCACTTTTTCCTGCCCACACTCTCTCTCCAACTCAGTGTGCAGCCCAGCCCCAGCTGCAGGGGCAGAGCTGAAAAGCATGTCCCTAGCTGTCTTAAATTAGTGGGTCTAAACTCATGGAAACAGGACCTGGGCCTTCGCCCAAGAGCCTAGCGGCCGGCAGTGCCCGGCAGTGCCCCAGGCCCAGTCGACACTTCCAGGCCCCCTTGGCAGTTTTTGCATGGCTCCCTGTGTGGCTTCCGTCTCCCTGGCTTCCTCCTTCTTGCTTCCCTGCAGAAGTCGGGGAGCACATGCAAAGGCCCTGGGCCAGATGGGTCTGAAGGTACACCAGGATCGTAGAGGCAGAGATCTGCCCGGCCCACCCTACTACCCACCCTATGCCCTTCCAGCCTGTGCTGTGGCACCACCACTCCTGGCATATCCCTTCAGTCCCGGGTTTCTGCCAGGCTGCTGCTTCCACCTGAGTACCCTCCCTAGGTGCTCCTGGGATTGGTTCAACCCCCTCCCCCCAAGGCTTCCAGATAGCCTGCCCCCTGCTGCCAGGGGTGGTCCAGTGCCAGGGTGGCACAGTGACTTTAGCACAGCCCCTCCTTCATCTGCCCCACCTGACTCCATGCTCCTCCAGGGAGCAACCACATCTCTTCTGCCCCAAGGCTGGTGCACGGGGAACCCTGGGGGCATCTGTCAAAAGTTGAGGGGTTAGTGGGCCCCTCTCCAAGGGTGCCTCCTGCATGAGCCAGCCAGAGGGCTTGGTGAAGTCCTAGGTACCCACTTACCATTGAGGCAAGGCCAGTGGGGACCCAGCTTCAGAGCAAGTCACATCCTGCTGACACCTCCCCAGGCTGGGTGTGTGCTGGCACTTCACACACAAGTTCACACTGACCCTTCCAGGTGTCCATTACAGAGATAGAATGGCATAGCGGTCAGGGCCACAAGTGCCGGACTCAGACAGACCTGGGTTCAAATCCCACCTCTGCCACTTAACAGCTGTGTGACTTGGGGCAAGCTGCTTGCCCGCCTGGGCCTCAGACTTCTCACCCACAAAATAAAGTGGATGTCCCCACGTCTGGAAGGAACCGTGAGAGATGACACATGAGTCAACAGTGAAGGCTCCACCAACAGCAGCTCCTCTTTGAGAGCTGAAAATGGAGGCTGAGAGGCCTTCCCAGGGACAAACAGCCAGCGAGAGGTCATGCTGACCAAAGCCCTGTTCCTTCTGCTTCCTCTGTTGCCACCAGCAAACCAAGGCGCCCCATCGTGCACTGAAGCCGGCCCCACCCCAAGCCATGCCAGGGAGCAGCCAAATCACAGCGTCCAGGATGCCTGGGGCCTCCTGACCACCTCAGGCCCTTCAACTGCATCCTCTTCCATTTCCCAAACTGTTCATTCTTTTGTCCAGCCAACTGGCCAAGGTTCATACCTATTGTGTGCCAGGCCCTGTGCTGGAGAGAGGGGATGTGGAGATGGGTGAACGTGAGTCTGACCCTGGAGAAGCTAGGAGCCTGGTGGGGGAGGTAGACAGAGGGTCAGGAGCTCCATTCAACCTGCTCTGGGGGGAGGGGTTCCACACTACTTTGCTGCCTCCCTTGCATAGAGCTCTGTGCTGCCCAGCCTGTCTGCCCACTCTTCTCCATTCAACCTGCAAAGGCACTTTTCTGTGGGTTCCTGTCCCACCTAAGTCAATACTGAAGACACTGATCTTTTCCATTCATTTCCAGAAAGATGGTGCACACAGCCCCAGTGGGAGTTAGTCTACAGGAACCCCTCAAGTTTGGCCCCTCCTTCTCAGCCGGCCACCTCCCTCAGCCCATATCAGCGGGCTGCCCATATCTCTGCTCTCTCTCAGAGGGAGATTCTGGCTTCCTGGAGACAAAGGGACTGGAGTTTCTATGGAGAAACTTTAATGCCCAGAGCAGTGAAAGTGGGGATCCATAACAGAGAGGCAGTGCCTGCCACACAGGCCTATGGGAAGAGAGAGGCCCAAAGAGAAGGAATAAATAAGGGGGAGGCCACACGCTTGGTGAAGGCCAGAGGGTGGGCAGTCTCCAGGAGAGGGGTCTGAGGGATGGGGAGAAGGGTGGGCAGACAGGCTGGGCAGCACAGAGCTCTATGCAAGGGAGGCAGCAAAGTAGTGTGGAACCTCTCCCCCCAGAGCAGGATGGGATCCAGTGGGACCCCAGGCTCAGCCCCAGCTGACTGCCCTCGCCCGGCTCAAGACAACCAGGCCTGGACAGCCAGACCCAGGGAGGACTAGGAAATGACCCAGGGAGGACTAGGAAATGAGGGCCCCACCCACTCTCCTCTGCTCACAGGCCAGCCTCCTCACTCTCTGCTGCTTCCCCACTGAAGCCGGCAGTCCATCCTCCACACACAACCAGGTTTTTTTTTTGTGAGGAAGATCAGCCCTGAGCTAACATCTGCCAATCCTCCTCTTTTTGCTGAGGAAGACTGGCCTTGGGCTAACATCCGTGCCCATCTTCCTCCACTTTATATGGGACACCACAGCATGGCTTGACAAGCGGTGTTTCGGTGTGCGCCAGGGATCCGAACTGGCGAATCCCGGGCCGCCGCAGCGGAGCGAGTGCACTTAACCGCACCGGCCCGGCCCTCAACCAGGGGCTCTTTACTAGAGGTAGTTGTGATGCTGGCTCTCCTGTACTTGAGTTCTCCAACAGCTTCCTTTGTAAGAACACTACCATCCCCGCCCTGCGCCCTGGTCTGGCCTCACCGACTTTACCTCTCACCACTTTGCCAGTATTCACTGATGTACACCAAGCCCTATCTCACTCCAGGCCTTTGCTCATCTTGCTCCCTCTGCCTGGCATGCTCTTCCAGCAACTTCCCAGGACAGGCTGCTTGCTGTAAATCCCCTCCCCGTCAATTCAGGAACCCCCACTACTCTCTTTCTCAGCGCCCTGTTTCTTTCTTTCATAGCACCTATCACAGTTCCTCATAATTTCGTCTGTGTATTCAGTCCCTTCCCCTTTCTAGACCACCCGTTCTCAAGGGGGGAGGATTTTGTCCCCCACGAGACGTTTGGCCATGTCTGGAGACATTTTTGGTTGTCACAATGGGGGTGGGGGAGGTTACTGGAACCTAGTGGGTGGAGACCAGGGATGCTGTTCAACATCCTAAAAGGCACAGCGGTGGATGATGGGCGCAAAGTGTCAACAGTGGCGAGGTTAAGAAACCTGCACGAAAGAGCCTACGAGAACTGGGATCACGCTCCCCACAGACTCCCGGCGCCTACGACAGTGCCGGGCACCCCGGCGGCGCTCAAAGCGCAGGAAGAAGGAATGAATAAAGGAGAGAATGGAGGAACGAACGGAGCGAGCGACGGACCAGCTGACAGACAGACAGACGGATGGACGCGGAGACCCCGGCCCGTCTCAGCCCCGCCCCCCGGCCTGATCCCTCCCGGATCCCCGACGCGCCTGCCCCTCGTCCCGCCGCGAGGCTCCAAGGCGCGAGCCCAGAGCCCGGCGCGCCGCTCGGACACTCACCCGCCCGCGGCCGCCCGGGAGCGGCAGCGCCACCCACCCGCTTCATCGTGCCCCCTCGGCCGCCGGCCGGGAAAGGGACAGAACGCGCGAGCCGGAAGCGCTCAAGCGCTGGGCCCGCCGGGACTTGTAGTTCCCCGGCTCTCGGGGTTCCCAGGGGCGCCGCACGCGCGGCTCTTCAGAAACTACGACTTCCGGTGGCTCCGAGGTCGCGGGGCAGGATTGGCGGCTACAGAATCACTCTATGTTGCAGATCGGAGTCTGATTGGCTATGTGTGTCCGTCGCTCACGGTTACGTTCAATGGCCTCTGCAAAAGGGAGGAGCTTGGGTATGGCGTAAGAGACCGCCCCCAAAAGAAATACCACGGCGCGATTGGTGGAAATAACAGGCGTAGAAAGCGGAGCGTATCAGCGGTGAGGGGGGCAGGTACTTCCGCCAGGGTTGCCCAATCACAGGGACGGCGCAGTTTCTATAAAAGCTTGAGCCGGCGGCGCTGGCGTTCTTTCGGATCTAGTAGGAGTCGGGGTGTTCTTGTTGTTGGGGTCTGCATGCCGTGGTCCGGGGAGGAGCTGGGCGCCGAGTAGAACTGAGGGCGTCGCCCAACGCGGCAGGCCGGCCTAGCCTCGGGGTCCAGCTTCGGCCTGAGCTCCATCTTGGTCCTCAGCGCTGTACACTTTTCTTTCCCCCCCCCAACCCCGAGTTTCGCCTGGGAACTCCGAACGTCCAGACCTACATCTCCCTACAGGTAAGGCTAGGCCGGGCCTGGTTTCCCCGATGCAGCTCCTAGCCTGTGATGAATTGCTTTAATTTCTGACGCCTCGTATGAAAACTGCACGCGCAGTCTGATTATTTTGCAAGACTGAGGCTTCAGGGTGCACCCTTTTGGCGGGAGGAGGCGGGAGTGAAAGCAGATCTTGCTTGTTCTGAAGGGGGTGGCTTCTGTCTACACTTCGGCGCTGTTTGACTTTCAGGGCCATCGGTGACCCGGCTGGAGACCTTGAACGTAAATCAGCATCAGTCCAGGGGCCTGGTGGTAAGGTGGGAATCCATGTTTGTGTCTGAAGTGCTTAGCAATAAAGCCAAGGTGGTGAGTGGATGGGAGCACAAGTGTCTTTATTTTCGCGGGCCGTTTGCACCCTAGAGGACTCCGGGGGAGGACTGGCTCATTCCTGGGCAGTCTTAGGAAGGGGTAGAGGCATGGAAGTTCTTACCAGTGACTTCCCACCTATCTGGACCGCCTTCTCCATTTTTGCCTCTAAGGCTAAAAATGATATTTTTTTTGTGCCTTTGTCCTGGGCTGGGTCATGAACTCTTAATTCCTCACTAACAGGCCACTGAGTGCCATTTTCTTTGTCATTGGGTCTTGTGGAGGGAAGTTGGCATTAACCGCTTAGGTTCTACTCCCTAGACAGTGCTGGGGTTGCAAGCAGCCCGGCTGTACCTTCTCTGCCACCCTGGTTATGACAGAGTGCCACTCTCTTCGTGTTGAAGTCAGGACCTGGGCCTTGCCGAGGGGGTTAAAGGGTGATTTCTTTCAACGATGAGACAGGCACTCCAGAAAACACTTTATTTACTAGGAATGAAAACAAGGGCTCTCAACCAAAAGAGCTACTGGAAGATTTTAGTACAAAGTGGAGCGCACTACCAGCCTTCTGGCTCGACCTCGCCGAGCACTGGCCTCAGCTGTGGGCAGGCCATGGCCCACAAAGATGGTACCTTGGGCAGCAGGCAACAGCTGGCAGGCCTAGGTCCCTGACATCCCTGTGGTTTTCCACATGCTATTCCCTGTATTACAAAACCACAGTCTTGGCATCCTCCAAGGTAGCAGAAGAGGAGAATCCTGTTGATGTTTGAACCACTGCCTCCTTGAAGGTGGGCTGGGAGCAGGCCGCTCTGGTTCTTGGGGCACAGACGCATGCTGTGATGAGTTGTGAAGCTCTCTGCCCCAGGCATGGGTGGGAGTCATGGCTTTCGGCACTGTACATGTGCCCGCACCAGCACCCAACCTCAAAGCTGGCTGAGCCCAGGAGGGGGCAGCAGAGCGCTGTGGCTAGCAGCCAACCAGGCACCCAGCACCGCCTGCTCATTGAGGGGTCCTCCCTCCTGTACAGACCACAGTTGCTTTTCTGTGAAGAGCTTGGGGGCAAGGCCCTCAGGCAGCAGCTGGTGAAGGGGGTGCTGCGGACCCACTAGCTCCCTGAAGCCCATTTGTTGGGACCAAGGCTCTAGATTGCTGCTCGGACAAGGGAAGGGCAAGGCTCACCATGGAAGTCCTGGAAACTGACACCTTGGAATTGACCACTGGGTGACGAAGTTGGAGGGGCCTGCAGACCCTCTATCCAGACTTGCAGGGGCTGGGCTGAGCCTGGGCCTCCCAGCAGGAAGCCCAGTGGCCATGCCCAGCCCGGTTCAGGGTCTGCAGCAGAAGGCCCCACGGCCCTCCCTCTTGACATACTCGTGCAGCCGGAAGTGGGGCTCACTGGAGGCCTTCATGGTGCGCTGCTTCAACTCCCTATAGAGCAGGGGTGACCATGGAACAGGGTGGCCTGTGCTCCCAACAACGATTCAGACCCTGGGTCTGGGGGTCTTCCTGGTGACTGCTAGGACTTACTTTGCTATGGCAAGGAAGGCCAAGTCCACGTTGAGGCCCGTCTTGGCGCTGGTCTCCATGAAGGGCAGCCCGTACTCCTGCAAACAGCTGCTGCCAGCCAGGTGGCAGCCTGGTGGGGACACCCCAGACCCTGCAGCCCCAGGGGCACCCCCTTGCCACCCACCCTACCCCGACTCACCTTGGCCAGCTTCTCTCCATCCTCTCTCTTCACCACATGCTCCTGGGCAGAGTCCACCTGGCACAAGGGTCTTGGTGAGAGCTGGCCTGGGGCTCACCACTCCTGCCACCCTCACTCCCCTGCGTGTGGAGCCAGGGTGGAGAGGACAGGCTGGGTGCCCACCTTGTTCCCCAGCAGCATGAGCACCACATTGTGCTGGGCATGCTCCTGAATCTCCGTCAGCCAGGCCTGTAGGGGGAGAGCAAGACCAGCCTGGAGGCTGGCAGTCTGCAGCCCTGCTCCTCCAAGCCAAACCCCACAGAGTGCCTATGGGGCACTGGCTAATAGGAGGGGCAGACATAGTGCTGCCCATGTGCCATGCTGAGGTGCCCCGGACAGGTACCTTATCCAAGGTGTTGGGCTGATGGAGCTAGAAGGTCACCCAGGTCCCCTTCAGCTCATTCTCAACCTGAGCCACCACACTTGGGCCACCAGGAGCCCAGAGGGGCTGTCTTTCCCCTCCCTGCTGTCAGTAGGGTCCTCAGAACCCTCTGGGACCCTGATGCCATCTGTGCCTAAGGGAGGTTGGGGGTGGGGTCAGGCCCCATCCTGGCCTGTCCCCCCCACCAAGAAGGAAGCCACTGACCTGAATGTTGTCAAAGGAGGCCTTGTTGGTGACATCATAGAGCAGCAGCAGTGCTGGGGGCAGAGGGCCAGTGAGGACACCTCCAGGTCCCTGTCACCCACACCCTCGTGCATCACACCCTCCCCATCACCCACACCCACACCCTCGTGCATCAAACCCTCCACACTTGTGCCCTGCTCACATCTGGGGCACCCTCTTCCAGCAGAAGCCAACAGAGCAGGGCACCCACAGCACAGCCCTGACTCCCTGGAGCTGGGATCCCGTGCCCAGGAGCTCACCATGAGCGTCACGGTAGTAAGCCTGGGTGACGCTGCGGAACCGCTCCTGGCCAGCCGTGTCCCAAATCTGCAGTGATAGGCACAGTCCAGCAGTCAGGGCTACCCAGTTCCTCCCAGGTGTCCCCTGCCCTCAACTAACCCACTTCCTGTCACCTCTCACCTGCAACTTCACCTTCATGCCATCCACGTCCAGAACTTTGTTCTGAAACACAACCAGCCAGCTCCAGTGAGGGCCCAGCACCAGATGCCCCACCCCAGGCAGGAGCTAGACCAGTGCCACCCTCTAGTGGGGAGGCTCCCAAGGGTAGGGTGGAGTAAGCAGGCAGTGCCAGGCCAGGACTAAGTCCGAGACTGAGGGACCGCTGGCATGCCCCTGAATTCATTCTTATCCTGTCTGCCCCTCTGCTGGCTGGACTCTGCCCTAGTGCCCATCTCCTGGTCCTCCTCATCTGACACCTCACCTCCCTCTACCTGCAGGTAATGCGTCCTCTTGAACCTAAGTCCTGGGGTCCACCCAGCTCCCCCCTGTGCTTGCTACACCTCCCCTGGTGAGCCCTCCTGGTGACTTGCACACAGAGGGCACCCAGGCCCCTCTCTGGCTTAGTTGGCCGTCCTGCTGGTCTTGCAGGTTGCTGCCCTCCATGGCCAGCTGTGTCCAATTCTGGGCTGGGTGGTTCTACCTGTGCCCACCCTGGAGGCCTGGCACATGGCCCCGCCAGCTTCATTGCCCTCGAGGGCCCCTTGCTGCCACCCACCCCAGTTGCTCACTGAGTCCTGTTGCTCTGGCCCCTTTACCCCACCCTGGCCCAGGCCCCCGGCTGGCCGGCTGCCCTGTGCCTACTTGGCAATTCAGCCTCACCCTATATGCCTCTCCCCTGTGCTCTCCACAATGTGCAGACCCCTGCCCCTAGGCCGCAATGCCCTGCCCCCAACCCCCTCTCATGGGCCGCCAGCACCTCTCACAGCTCTGCACATGCTGCTTCTTTTGCTTAGAGCCACTCGCACGACTTACTTGAAGTCACCCACAGTGTGACCCCTCAGGCCCATTACTAACACTCTCTGCCTCAGTTTCCCCATCCACAAATAGGGATAACCAGGGTGCCCATCCCATGGCTGCTGCAATGACTTTATGGGTTACTATGTGCAAAGCACTGAGAAGCATGTCTGGCCCAGCATGAGGGTTAAAAGCATTTGTTCTAATTTAGAAGCCTCTCCCTGCTGGGACGGCAGCTTCCTGACCACAGGGTCCAGAACTCTGCCTGGTACACAGTGAGTGCTCATTATGTGTTTGCTGGCCAGCCATGCTCCCTAGCTGGGCCTCCCAGTTCAGGACTAGAGGCAGGGAGTGGCCCAACCCCAGTTCCCATCTGCCGGGGCGGGGGTGGACAGCTGGAACGTCATCGCTTCCCTCTTCCCCAAGCTCCTGCTGTCAGGGTGCTTCTGGGTCTCCAGGGAACCAAGCACAGCCATCTGCTGGGCTGGGGGGAAGGCTGGGAGGACACCCTGCCTTCCCTGGCACCCTGAACAGGGCCTCACTTCCCTCCCTGCCTGCCCCAGAGCTGAGAGGGAGATGAGGAGGAGGGAGGTGGGGCCAGAACAGGCAAAGGATCTCCTGCCCCAGGCCTAAACCGCCCCCTCTGGCACCTCAACCCTACTTCATCCCAGAGGACTTGAGGGGACCTGACCCCCCAAACAGGGTAGAGAATGGATCCCCAGGCTAGAGGGAGCCCCTCTTTCCTGTCCCCAGAATGGGCCCCTCTCCCAGCCTCCTGCCAACTGGGTCTAATTAAAGGGTAAAAAAATGCAAATTCAGGATTTGCCAGGAACATGCCAGCACCTTGGCATGCAGAATTTAGACTGGTGGACAGAGGTGGGGAACTTTGATGCTGGAGCCCCGCAGGCCTAAGGCTGCACCCTCCATCATTCCCTGCTGACCCTACTGGCTGCTTGGGTGCTGGAGGGGCTCAGGGAGCCAAGAGTCTAGGGGCACCCCCCCAGAAGAACCCCAGGACAAAGCGCCCCGGCTAGGGCGGGGGTGAGGGGGCTCTGGCAGGGGAGAGCAGCCAGGTAGAAGCATTTCTGATGAGCCTCCTCACTCAAGGGCAGGGACCTCTCCGCAGCTCTGGGACAGGGTGTATGCTCCAGCGCCACAGCCATCTGTCTCATAAGTCCCGGGTGGGCACCTCAGGGCGCCCTCTGTACAGTAGGGCAGCAATGCTGGCCTCCCAAGGGGACATGGGCCTTGAGTTCCCTCTGATGGCCACCACCATGGGGGCACCAGCGCCCACCTCCCCCAAGGCAGAGGATACAGCCCTCCAGGATCATGCCAGCCCCAGGCACAGGGGTACCATCTCTGCTTTGGTTTGATGTGGCCACCACCTGTCTCCAGGACCCTTCGGGTGTCGGGAGGCAGGCGGCTTGGTGGTTAAGGGGTCCCACCTCAACCACCCTGACCCTGGGAACCAGGTGGTCCAGCCAGGAGCTCCACCTTGTGAGCCTGTCGGTGCCACGGGGATAATGGAGAACCAGCTGCCAGGGGTGCTGTGAGAACTCAGTGAACTGGTGTTGGGGCCCCAGAGCATGGCTGGGCCCAGTCAGTGCTCGGGACGTCAGCCTCCACTCTCACCCGGAAGTCGATGCCCACGGTGGAGATGAAGGTCCCCGCCAGGAAAGCCCCATCCTTGAAGCGCACGAGCAGGCAGGTCTTCCCCACGCCCGAGTCCCCCACCAGCATGACCTGGGGTGAGCAGGAGGGTCAGAGGGGACTGGGGTGCTGCTGTCCCACCCAGAGGTGTGTGTGGTCTTCCCTGAGCTGGTCTGGTCAGAGAGGGGCTGTGGGTGAGGGGAAGGAGTGGAGGGAGGCATCCCAGGCCCACAGGCTCAGTAGGGCCTGGGGCAGACACAGCAGGTATGGTGCCGGCTGGCTTCTACCTCTGGAAGGTTCTGTCCCCTCTCTCCTGAACAGTGGCCTTTCTCAATCAGTAGGGAGTGGGGGCAGCTTCCTCCATCCAGGGTCCTACCTAACCCCACCCCTAGGCCCTGGACACCATGCTTGATCTGGAAGGGGAGCGTTTGTGGCTTGGTGGGGAGCAGAGACTGGGAGTTGGCGGCTGAAGACCTGCTGAGAGGCCTTTGGAGGCCTCTGTGCCAGGGGGCTTCTTCCAATCCCAGCAAGACTCTGGAGGAATTTGCCACATGAGGGTCAGATCTTGGCATTGGGAGGGGCCCAGGCCAGGTCTGTGGACAGGGAGGGACAGTCAGGCCTCCCCCTCCTCCTCCCCATCCCCCAGCCTGCTGCCAAAGGCTCCAAAGCCCAAAGATGGTCCTGCCAACCCCACCAATTTACAAGATTCTGCCTTGGCCTGGAGGAGGCCTCAGTGCTCCCCACCCTACTGGCAAACCTCTTCTTAGTCTCCCGCCTTAAAAAAGAGGAGACCCGCAGACCTGGGGTGTGAGGGAAGGCAGCATATGGCAATGATGAGATGGGCGCAGGCGCGGGCCGGGGCACTAGGGAGTTGGGAGAGGGCACCTGCCAGGGTCTGACTTCTGTGGAACCCCTTGTCGGGCCCTGCCAGCTGGGGGAGTAGGGGGCAGGCCTTGCCAGCTGTTGAGTATCCTAAACCCGGGTCTGACAGCTGTGTGTGTGTGTGTGCGCGCGCGCGCGATGCACCATGCCAGCCGGGCCAGCTGCGAAGTGCCGCTCGGGTCGGCCCCGCGCCGAGGATCCGCAGGGCCCGGCACCCCCTCCCCGAACCCCCTCCCAGCTTAGCTTCGGCCCCGGACGCCACCTGCTGCGCTGGCATGGGCGCGGGGGAGGGAGGCAGAGGGGGTGCCCGGCTCACCTTGAAGGCGACGTCGTAGAAGTCGCCGCCGCCGCCAAGCGAGGGCCGGCCGGGCTGCGGGGGCCCGTTGCGCGGC